TCTCTTACCTGGGATTTGCATCACGAACTTTCGGGTTGGCAAGTAACACCCTTACTCTCGAGCTACTATCGAACACCACCACGCATACAGACGGCAAACTGTTGTCTTGTATTTGGACATCAGAGCGGCCTTCGATTCTATCGATCGCCTTGCACAGTGGAACTGTTTGCGGAGATACGGAGTACCCGATAAGTATGTCTCACTCCTAAAAGCGCTCTATCACCAGACTTCGGGGAAGGTTAGGGCCTATGGTGAATTTTCACCCTCATTTCCTGTCACCAGTTGGGTGCGACAGGGTTGCCCTATCTCTCCGTTTCTCTTCAACTTTGTCATAGATGATGTTCTACAAAACGTGTTACATAACTCAGCGAACGCTGACGTCGATCTTCTTCCTGGGGAGAGAGTCGTAGACTTAGAGTATGCCGGTGATATTGCCTTACTGGGTAACAACGCGCCAACGATTCAAGAGTCGTTGAACCGTTTGAAAATTCAGATTACTCGCTGCGGTGTGTCCTTTGCACCTTCAAAGTTCAAAGTGTGGTTGCAAGATTGGTAGGAACCTGTTCCTGCACTTTTGTTGAGTAATGACACCCTGGAAGTAGCCGAAAGCTATGTTCACCCCTGGAGTTGCATAACGGCTGGTGGAGGTGTGGGTTAAGACATCTCTCAACGCGTAATCAAATCTAGATTAGCTTTTGCTAATCTGCGGCATCTCTGGCGTCGAAGTGACATAACCCTTTCACTGAAGGGTGTGTTTTGCGCAACGGTACGCACCGTGTTGCTCTATGGCTGCGAGACCTGGACTCTCCGAGCAGATCACGTCCAACGACTATCCGTTTTCGACAACCGTTGTCTGAGCAACATCGCCAGCGCATGGTGGGAGCATCGCGTGAATTATGATGAGGTCAGACGACGAGTGCTGGGTTCAGATAATCTTCCTTAGAGCAAACTAATTTCACGGCATCGTCTTAGGTGGCCAGAGCATTTCCTACGAATGCCTGAGCAACGTCTGTCACACTGTGCACCATTCGCAAATATCGGTTCAGGCTGANCGTGGCGCAGAGGATTAAAGAGATTATGCTCGGATCTGGCTTCCGTTGGGGCTTCCCGGCTCCCCGGGTGGGCCCCCCAAAGATCCAGATTGTCTTTGACTGGAGACACCGCGGAATGTGGCATTAAACCAAAGTCGATGGCGTGAATGAATGCATCTTTTCCTGTGTGCGATCCCACAAATATGCAAAAACCGAGAAAAAACAAACTCAAAATGGTCTGCTGTAAAAAGGCAAATAATTTGTTATTCACCCAGGTTGACTGGTTTGTTTTCCTCGCTTCTGTACCTATAGTTTCCGTTAACCGATGGTTATTTTGGCTTCG